GTTTGTGCCAGCAGGAAAAACAAACTGGAACAGAGGGGGGGGGGGGGGGGGGGGGGGGGGGGGTGAAAGGACAGTAACACAACCCTGAAACACAGACTTTATCTGCTCCCACTATGTTTGACAGGTTTCTTAAACAGAGACTCAGGGGATTCAAGATTGCAGAGGCCACTGGCAAAGGGCAGTTGTTGTCAGAAATCATTCAGCAAGAGTTTATCTTTATCCAACTGACTGCCACACTGTAGTATTGTGCAGCCAGTCGCTAAGTGTTCAGGGTGTAGGGTATAGATGTCTATGTCTGAGAAAATGCACACTGGCAGGGTTTCAAAAGCAACACAGAGGATTTAGAATTCCCACCAACATGTTCTCCCACCTCCTGAGGCCATCTAACTCACAAACTGGGTCAAGGTTTATCCTGGTTCATGTGCAACCTCTTAGGGTCAACAGAAATCATGCTGAGTGACTTTACAGAGACACAGAGGAAGGCTTTCAGATTCAAGGTGTGACTTCACCAGTATTACATTAATGGTCTTCTGTAAGGTAACGAGACGTAAGGAAAGCTGGGAATAAATGGGCATTTTGGGATTACTGCATAATATGCATTCAGTTGTGGGCCTGCTTTAGCTGACATTCTGACACTATGAGCGTAACATGTAATTCAGAAAGAAACTGTTGGTAGTTGAGCATCAAATGATCATCTTCCCAGAACCCCAGAAACATATAACTACTACGAGTATCACATGGAAAACGAAATGCTTAAAAGTATTGGTAGACTCTTGACAAAAGTGATGGGAATATCACAAATATGAACATACTGCCAGCAGCTAGTTAGCATAACGCACAATAACTGGAAATAAACAGCTAGGCAGCCATGTCAAGACTTTCAAAATAATCTACCAGAAAAACCTCTAAAGGTCATGTTTGTTAATCCCTATAAAAACTGATATAACAAATGACACAGGGGCTTATAAGTAGGACTGTTTGTTGGCCACCAAAAAAGACTTCCTAGAGTTGTATCTGCACCGTGAGGTTGTAGAAACAAGCGGAGAATCCATTGTCACCATATTTGCTCCAAAAAGACTAAGCTAGTGTAAAAGCCTATAGAGGTGAACACCTTCCTGTTGCTTGCTCTTATTGTAAGTTACTTTGTGTTTGGCGTGGTACATGCCTTGCCTGAAAAACTGGAATAAAGAGAACCTGGTCACACAGCATCAACCTGATCCCAAAAGGTACGAAGCAAGTTTGCCTGGAAGTAGTTCTGAGGGCTGGTTGTTTGACCCTTGGTACTGACAGGATGGCATACCCCAGCTGTGAGCTAAAGTGTAACTAAAGGCTGCTTAAGGGACATAAAAGCCTTTGGAGGAAAGAACATAGCAGGATAATGTTTTGCAAAATAGAAACATTTAAATTACATAACTCCATAAAACTATTCGGGAAAAAAAGAAACGAATACTGTTCATATGGTTCGTTGCAGGATCTCCCTGTTATATGATTATTCAGTGGTGCAATCCCTTCAGCAGTGATTATTGAGGGGGAACGCTAAATACAAGTCAAATGTTTGGCTTCACCTCCACACAAATGCCACAGCCAAGGCAGCATATGTCTCCAGGGCATTGATTATCAGACTGCATTAACATCACAGCGAACCTGCCATACAATCATCCTGCTCTGCAGAGCTAAATAGAGGCAAGTCAAGACAGGAGTCTAGTAATGAACCTGTTGACTTGTGAGACACGAGCAGATAAAACATTCAGTGGCGTTTACAGTTATAGTTTAGGTCCTCCTTGTGCTTACTGTGCACTCCACCCCTCTTCATATTACTTCCCAGTAGTGTGAGCATCTAATATCAGTAACACTTGCTTATCTTTTTACTGTTTAGTGCCTTTTTTTCACACATCTAAAAATATCAAGAAAATAAATACACTATATATATATATATATATATATATCTGCCAAGCTCATTAAGTTATATTTATAGCCTTGGTTTTAAAATAAGTTTGAAGTGTAAGGCAAGCAGTGTGAGTTGATTAGATGTAAGCAGCAGAATGAGCGCAGTGTTATCACAAATGGCTGCTTTGTGCACCATGAAAAATGAGCTTTTTCTTCCACAGTCTCAGGGGGGGAGGCCAGTGACCTTCACAATTTCCCCCAAAACAGCAGCCACTACACGGAGGGGCAGCCATGGGGGGGCTATGAAGGGAGACGCCGGTCCTTGTAAGCACAGGGGGTCTGAGTCTACCTGAACAGACCACAAGGAAAACCTTCATGAGCAACCCTCCCCTCTCTTATTTACACTTATAAACACATACACACATCCATACTCACTCACCCACCCATAAACACACACACACACACACACACACTCATACTCACATTCACACAAACACACACTCACATTCACATTCACACGCACACACACACACACACACACACACCACACACACACAACACACACACACACACACACACACACACACACACACACACACACACACACACACACACACACGCACGCACACACGCACGCACGCACACACAAACATTACAGTACTTGTTGTAGTATGTTACTGTAATTCTAGAGCAGTTAATTAAAGAAAAATGTATGACATAATACACAGGCTCTTGCCAAGTTTCATTAATTCAATCGTGAGTCTGTACATGTATATTCTCAGTTTACACCAAAGTACATGCAAAGCTGTTTCAACTTTCCCACACTGTTTGTTTGTTCAGCCCCAAAAGCCTTTCCCTGCTGGAAAGAGTGGTGGTACACTGATGTTTACTGTAACCATATTACATTTCAAAAGCATGTAGCCTTTCACCTTCAATGCTCGAGTGTGGTGGACCTTTTTGATCTCATCTCAAAACAAAACTCCACAAATCTACCATCAACATACTCTAACTCCTGTAAGACCTGCATTGACAAACAACATGCAGTCTGAGAAAGGAGACACAGCTGGCCCGGAAACTGTTCAACACTTAGTAAAAGTGTTTACAGATACTACTTGATAGAGTGGAAGTCATCATCATAATTACACCGCTTAACAATAGAGCTGCAACAATTAGCCAACTAATCCATTTGTCGATAAACATAAAAATAATCTTCAACTACTATGATAATCGTTTAAACGTTCCCAAAAACAACAAAAAGTGCAGTTTTCAGCCTCTCAAAATATGGAGATTTCCTGCTTTTCTCTGTGTTTTATTAATAAAAAAAGTTAATATCTTTGGGTTTTGGACTTGGACTTTAAGGAACTGGAATGGACATGTTTCACAATTTTGTGACATTTTAAATAATAAATAATGTATTGATTAATCCAGAAAATCATCAGCAGGAAATTCATTAGACTAATAATATCTTTAGTTGTATATCTCTGTTCAAATCAAAATAAGTAGACAGAAAGATAATATATTTGAGATGTACTAACTTAGATGATATCACCTGTGCATCATTTTACAACATCTTAGTTTTTTTCTTTTTCCATTACATAACAAACATTCTTGTAGAATAGCATGAGTGCAACACATGCTAAAAATCAAAATAATGTTACACAGCTTGACCATGACCTGGAACTGCGTGGCTGCCCTTTGTCACTCTTACCCTGTCTGTGAGACTGGCCTGTTTGACTCGTGGCTGGTCACGGTCCATCTGGCTCGAGGAGAGCTGCTCCCTCAGGGCCCTGCTCTCCTCCAGCCCGCTGACCTCAGAGCTCTCACCTGGGTCCAGAAAACAGATCATGCATAAAGAAGTGTCAATCTTACTACATAGTCTGTTTGCCAGCTCATAGGGTCCTATTATGAAATGTACAGTTGGGACTGCAGCATATAGAGACTGCCAGATGCTAATTTTCATATGTTGGGCAATTTGAACATTAGCATGAATTGTGTTAATTAGCAATACTAACCATTATAGCTTATGTTGACAATAATTTAAAAATGGCTTGGCAGATTTGGAAAATGTTTGAGTGGTTTTGGAGGTTATTAGGATGCTGAATCCATTTCTGACATTTCCAGGATAGACGATGGCAGTTTTTAACAGAAAATAGCCATATTTGTACTCCCGGTGGTCACTTTCTGGTTCTGCCATTTTTTATCCTGGACTATACATTTCTAAGTTAAAACTCTCGGTTACTCAACATGCTGGCAACTACACTAACATGGTGAATGATGACAAAATCTAGTAACTATTTTTCTTTTTGTATTGCTCTTGCTATCTGTATTGTTATTATGTTGCATTGTTGGAGAAGCCTGTGACATAAGATTTTCAACAACATAATTACTCTGTAGCTATGTCAGTTTGACAATAAAGAACCTTGAACCTTGAACCGAAGGGAAGATTCATCGTTTGTATTTAATGTGTTCAGTTTGAATTTAAGCTATCTTCCTTACCGGCTGGCTGCTCTGCCAGGTTGCGGGTAATGATCTGGCGGATGCAGGTGGAGACATGCGTAGCAGTGACACCAGACTCCTGTCCATCAGCTCCAAGTTTCAGACTACTCTGTCCTGAACATCCATCAGAGTGAAGCAGAGACTCTTCCAACTTCTACAAAGCGTCACCAACACATCACACAACTTAACTTTTTACTGCTGCATTATGCTTCCGCTCCAATAGTTCATTTTCAATTCTTAGTTTCTTTACATTGCAAATTCAGATAAATAATACAAAATGTCATTAAAAGAACCTAATAATGCATTTTATTATATATGAAACTACCTATTAATTGGGAATGTAAAACTTTTACTTGTTACAAAGTATTTCTACACTATTTTATTCCTATTTTACTAGAGTAAAAATGCTGAGTTTTTTTAGCAGTAGATATTTTGACTAGTAATAGCAGATGTTAATAATAATGGCTCTGATCTATAGGCTAAACCACTACAGTGTGACAGTGAGCAAGCAACAAAGTACAAAGACACTGAAATTTAAGCAGCTTGCATTAAAGCAATTCCATGAATTAGCGGCTACTTTGTGAAATACCCTGAGAGAAAGACAAGACAAGACCAGCTCAATTGTTACACATTATTTCCAAAAAGGTACTACCTTTTTAATAACAAAAATGACACTGTGATAGTAAGCCTGAAAACACTATATGAGAATAGTAGCTAGCATAAATGCAATTCAGCCATCTTTAATTGCATTTATTAGCCAAACATTTGTGAAAATAGCCTTACATGTAAGACGTAAAAGCAGACACGAGCTGCTAATGCTTCACATTATTAGACCGTTTTATTGCTATCTTTTTCATTCAAAATTGTTTTAAAATGGTACAGTTTTGACTTGGTATACCGTACCTGTTGAAGGTATTACTTACAACCGGCACTGTGACAAAGAGCCAGCATTAACATTAAGATTAGCAGCTTAGCATACATGAAATTCAGCCATCTTTTAATTGCATTAATTAGCAACACCTTTGCTCAAATAGACTGATAAAACATGGAAGTAGGTATTAGTGGATACGAGGGGGGCACTGATGCATTTTTACCTCTCTTTACCTTGTAACTTCTAGACTGTTTTCAAAGGCCTTTTTCACAGCAGATACTTTAACTTGACCTGACTCTGGATAATGACAGACACTGTACCTGTAGTAGATATGTTTCTAATAACCACCATGACAGTGAGCCAACATTAACACATTTATATATATATATAAACTAGCAGCTAGCATAAATTGAACGCAGCTATTACATTTTCAAAACGTTTGCTTTTCCTACGTCGACATAAAGCCTGTTAAAACCTATGGTTAAAACATGAAAGGCGTAACAGTAATGTTACCAACCTGAATCACAGCCTCCAGTCCAGAGTGTGCACCCTGCTCCCGTTCAGAAGTCATTGCTAAACTGGCACAGCTTCAATTAAAGAATGTTAGCTAGCAGGCTAAAGTGAATGGCTTCATTTGACGAAACAGAAACCTTGCTGTAACGTTGCTTTAAGTTAACTGAGGCTGGAGAGAGAGTAAGTCAAACGGTGAATAAATAACAAAAAGCACCAACCTAGCATCTCGTTTCAGTAAAGTAATAAGAAATAAATAAACAACTTGTACCTGTACAAAAAGGTAACGTTAGAGAGTAATAAAGAAATCACTGTCAACACTTTTTTAAAGCCAAGATACTTTAGGAGTGACTGCTGATCCCTGTCGATGTTGCCATGTTTACCAGGCGCTTACGGGCAGTTGCCATAGAAATAGAATGCTGGCTTGGGTGTTTCCATGGCAGCACAGACGCCACGAGCCAAGCTGCTGGATTCCGATGGGTTAATGTTAAGAAAGGCACTATATGTATGCAAAGTAAACAGTGTTTTACCGAAAATGATTTACAGCTGGTTGTCGGCCAGTTTTATGCAACACATTTGATTAATAATTAGTTGCAAACCCATGATCTACAACAAATAATAATAATACTCACTCTGCAAAGATTTTGTGGTTGAAGAACACCATTCAACACCTCAAACACATGATAGGCCTACAAAGTATAAATAAACAGCTGCTGAGCAGCCAAGCAAGGCCATAAAAACAACCCAGAATACCTGAGGATCATGTAGCACCTATTGGCACAATGACATCCTGGGATAAACATTCCATTTGCATCGTCACATAGATATGATTGGAACAGGTCTGTGTCTCTGTGAACTCCTCAACCTGGTGTTTTTGTCCCATCAGGAGAGGAGGCCATTATGTTGAGTCTATGCTGAAAAGCTCAGTCCACTGGGATGGATCAAGGAAGGTGGTGCAGACTCCACTGTAGAACCAAAGTCTCGGGAGGTAGCTCTCCACCTCCCAGGTGTCGGTTGTTCGGTTGTAAACCTCAACTTCCACCCCATAGTCCCCCTCCATCCCTTTCCAATGGCCTCCAGTAACAAAAAGCCTCCCATCCAGTGTCACCAGGCCGCCATTTTCATGGAGCATGTGGAGAAGCTGGATCTAAAATCACAGGAGAATAAAAACGGATTATTTTCCTTTATCCTGTTCAAATAGCAGTGAATGATGCATTGTATTACTTTGTCAGCTGATATCGGAGCCCACCTTCTGCCACATGTTCGCCTCTGGATCATAAGAGTAGACTTTCTTAGTGTTGTCAGCAACCAGATAAATAGTTCCATCCATACAGACAGAACGAGGAGAGGACAAATACTTAGGGATGAAGGGCGAACATATGCTGGTCCAGCTATCTGAATAAAACAAACAAAAAACAACATGTTTCAGTCAATTGCTTTACAATGAGTAAACACAATAAGTAATGACAGTTATGTAACTGCATAGGGTGCTGGTTCCCTCTTTAAATCAAGGTTTTCATGAAATTGTGCTTGTTTAGAAGCCTGAAATAAGTTTGGTGGTTTACACAAGCTTAACAAATGTAGTTAAAACAAATGTATGTAATGTTATATGTCATATAATACGCCAATAAATACACACCTCATATTTATTTTTATCTTTTACATGTCTTCAATAGCACTAAGACATGGCAAAAATAACACTACAGAGAAAACTCATCCACTCACTTACCTATGGCAATTTTATTTACATTAACAAATATCATAAACCTGTGGTTTATTTGTTACGGTTATCTTGAGCTATATTTAAAAATCAAATGGATGCATTAGTTGTCTATTGACGGGGGGGGGGGGGGGGGGGGGGGGGTTCTATGGCTACATGTCACCCCTGTAGCTGTAAAAACAATTATAACTGCTTATTCATTAATGCTTGATCAATAATTATTTAACAAAATATTTAAAAGAGATGTTGACAGAAATACTAACACATTTGTACAATATTTATCAATGTATTTCACTGATAGAAATGTATTATGAAGCATAAATATATAGTTAAAACACTATAATTAGCCAGTTAAAATGCTATCTGAAACGATTGGAAATGGAGCTACACCAACAGGATTGCTTAAATGACTGAAATATTGCGAATGCATTTTTAAAATTGTTGTTATTTATTGTTGCAAATGTCTTACAAATAAAGACTTTGGTGAAAATCTGTTTGATCATCCTTACCTATAACAGGGTTGTAACACTGCATGGCCAAAGCGTTATATTTCATAGCACAGGAGCCAATCACGTAGAGCTTCCCATGACACGCCGTGGCAGTGAAGTTAGTCACATATTTCAGGGCGGGGCAGGTCAATGCCCAGGTGTCGTTGTAAGGGTCGTAATGCTCAACCTCAACCCTATTTGAAGTTGTACCTGAAGGAGGGGAATGAAAGTAGAATGAGTAAAGAAGGTAAATCATGCTTTAAACACCCAAACACACATCTAAAATGCTGCTGTCTTCTAGAACCTGTCCATATTTAAAAGTAAAATTCATACAAACGGTTATCGCACAGCTAAGCCATTGAAGGCATATATGATACTTGAGTTAATCAATGTTTTCCATTGTATTGCAGGGTTACATGCAGATCTGAATTTATTTTCCTACCTCCAATGACGTAAATCTCCCCGTTGAGTGTTGCAGAAGTGTGGTTAGTCCGAGGCCGGAGCATGGGAGCCACAGTAACCCACCTCCCCTCTTTTGTGATGAACTTCCAGGTCTCTGTGGTCGACCAGGTGTTGGTATTCGAACCACGCGAGCCCCCTGTCAAACAGACAATAACCCTTTGTCAAAGGTTTGACGATGCGTTCTGCCTAAAATTTGAATCATTACTTCTCCTTTTACTTCTTAAGATTCTATGTTGCATGTGCCTACCTGTGACGTACACATCATTGTTTAAGGAGACCATGGCGTAACCCCACTTGTTAGGATTAGGAAAATGAGGGAGCTCATGCCACTGTTCTGCAGATAAAAATAAAAGTGAGTTCATTTATGAGCATCATTCAAGTAAGGTAAAAGTTTCACAAATACAGCATGCAAATGAAAAGGTATACCATGGAAATAGGGTTAAGACACATAGAGATGTCCTCAAAGTAAGGTACAAAAAAAGGAACAGACCTGTTAAGAAATGATCTTCTCTGGTACAGCCATTATTATGGTTGCAAGTATTCAACATAACAACAGAAATCTAAAAGTAAGATGCAACAATCTTTTTCATAAAATTACATCCAAAATCATGTACATGGATGTCTTCTTCCAGCTATGCACAATAAAAACGTGATTTGATAAACTGAGAAGATCCAATTTTGTCACATTCAGACCAAATTCCTGCAGAGCTGTTTTTCTGTCAACACTACATTTAACAACCTATGACGCATCTGCCAAACTGTTTCAAGGATTCCAAAAGACATTTCACAACACAAATATAGTTGTGAAATGTAATCTGAACTTGAACAAACTCAGCATTTTTTATACATGCAAAAACAAAAAATGTAAGTACTTGTCGTTGTGTTGTAGAAAGCAAAATTCCTGGGGAGTAATCTTTGCAGTCTCGGGTCTCTGTCCTCATCATCTGAGTCCTCCTCATCATCCGAGTCATCCAGAGAACGACCTCCCATCACCAGCAGCACCTCTTGCAGGTTTGGTTGTGGACTCTTAGAACTGAGACTGTCTGTGTGTTTTGGTGCCAAATCCATTTTCTATAAAAGTTAAAGTCATAATTGTTAATGGGAAATCTACTCAGAATGACCAGATAAAAGGGAGAAAGTGTGAACTCACTAACCTCTCTTTGGACTTTTTCCACAGCCTCTCTGCAGCTTGGGGAGCCCTGCACCAGACTGTCCTTCAGCAGGGTGTCTGTCAGGTAGTCCAGGCTGAGCAGCGGGAGACGGGACAGAGTGAGGAGTTCAGGGAGGTCGGAGAGCCGGGACTCCTTGTGGTGCCTGGCCCATTTCAGAATGGCCTCCACACGGGTGCACTCTGTCCGGATTTGTAGTCCTTCGTCGGACAGGCAGGCAACCAACCTCTCCTTCGCCAACAGGAGAAACTCCTCACATTGTTGCACAGCTTCAAAGTTCTCCAAGAGGAAGGCCCACGCTTTGGCCATTACCTCGGGGCAGCCATGGATATCTCCAAACTCCAGGATTCCCAGACAGTTGGTGGCATCAATCTGATGCTGAAGGTACCGGCTGCACACGCCTCTCACCGTCTGGAACTGCAGTTGGCTGGAGTTGCAGATCAGACCCTCCACGTTGCTCTGGTTGATGGTCAGTTTGCCTGTGTATGCAAAGTCCAGCAAGCAGCTGAGTATATCAGGATCGACATCATGAAGCTCGACACGCGCAGCTATGCTCTCCACAAAGTCCCCTGAGAACATGCTGTGGAAGTACGTGCTGCAGAGCGCCAACACGCCACGGTGACAGGGGAAGTCCCGACCTCCTGCGCTCAGTGTTACATCCACCAGTTTGGGGTCGGAGCAGAAGGAGCGCAAGCCCTCCAGAATGCTCTGTGGATGGGAGGGCAGGCAGAAGTCCAGGTCATCCACATTGCGCACCATGGTCAACTGCAGTTCAAAATGTGGGTCAAATCAGCTTAAAGCAGGGACGATATAAGACTGAGCTTACCTGCAAGTGTAGGAAAAATACATAAATATGCAGAAAACAAACCTATCCATTTGAACAAATGTTAAGCAACAACGTAGCCATGATCTACAAAATATTTTTTTAATTATGCAGACCTGACAATAAGATTGAGTAACTGCTTCACACAGATAAACTGCAACTACAACAAAGCGTTATTAGTTTTAAAAGTGGTGTATGATAAAAAAGTGTTTTTCTTTTGATAATTAAACAATGGGACAGATAAAAATAGAAAAAATAGAATTGAAGACAAATTGTTCAAACGTAAGTTTATAATTAAAATCTGTTTCTCTACGACCTTTCTGATTTGAGGGAAAACTAACTAAAAGGCCTTTTGTAAAATAGTGCCTTGTTTTCTTAGGTGTGGAGTCGCTGTGTTGTAAGGACTACTAAGTACCTTTGGCTCATGATAAGTATGAAATACTGTAATACTATACTCTAATCACATCTCAAGCCAACAATACATTACATTTCCTGTCAAAATGAAATAACAACAAACTCACCACAGGAGTAGAGAATGGAAATAATGGCTCATCCTTTTCCAGTAAATAAAAGCTGTTTGTAGCTAGCTGGTCGGATCAACATGGAGTGGGCAGCATGGCGAAAAACATTAGCCAAGTCATTGGGACGGGCTGCCTGTCTATCGGTTATTTTTAGAACTGAGAGTGAGGCTGTGCTAAAGTCAGATTCCAAACAACAAGCATGGGGGCCGCAGCTGCTGTTACAGGCACATACCATTCCCCCCAGCAGAGAGGACACATGACGTAGCCCCAGCAGCTACTTTATGTATCATGCAACAACTCATTCACAACACCACATACAAGAAGGGATTATTTCCATTTCAAATGTCAGTAGTCACTGTATGGTAAATAAAAAAATGGTCTTTGGTGGTAGCATGGGTTAACCTGGTCCAGCAAAGAGCGGGACACAGCCTGTCAGAATGGGCCAATCATTTACATTTTGAGGGGAGATACCAGCGTCCCCTCCTCATTTGGACTGATCCTCGTTTTTGTTTGTCCTCGGTCATTATCATCGTCATTTCATTGCAAAGTTTGCTATGTTAAATTGAAAAACATCGAGTATCTGAATGTACATGTTAACTATTTTAGCACTCTATTGACTGACAGATATAGTAAACAGCTTTCTGTGACTCAGTGTTCCAGCCCAGCTTGGTCCTGGTTTGATTCAGTGCCGGGGGGACATGCTTACACACAGAGGAGGCAGGTGTCAGCCTGATATCATAAAGTGGCTTGAAGGTCTTCCACAATCATCAGATTTATTTCTCTTTTTCACAGTTTTATTGTTAAAATAACTGCAAAACAATTATCGGCATGAGCCAGTTTTTTGTCACAAAACTTTTGTACCAAAAAATCCATGGGTGGGGTGTGAGACATTGGGCCCCTGGGCACAGACATAAGATTTGAAAGCCTCTTTTTGTTGCTGTTTTGTGACTCTTTTGTCCTTACTTATCGTTGTAAGTCTCTTATGTCTATCCGCTGCTGTTTTATCTTTATCTTTTAAGTTGTTTTATGTTTATTTTGGGGTATTTCTTTGTCTTCCTGCTTGGTATTTGTCTCTTTGAGTGACATTTTGTATTGCCCCTTTTCCACCAAACCGGATCCGGTTCAAGAACCGTTCTTTTGCTTTTCTGGTGCTGAACCGGTTCTTCTCTGTAGCACCATTGTGTTTCGACCGCTCAGAGCTCGAGTGGAGCTGCGTCATTGCGTCATCGTTTGCGTCAACACCTAAACGTTTACGTGCCTTCTTATGACACCCACACGGTGCGAAAATCCCTCATATCGACAACAACAACAATGATCCCGGTAGTCTTTCTTGAGTTTTTTTAGCTTGTTGCTTATTTGCTCCAGAGTGGGTGGTATCCAGCGGGGCCAACTCCCGCTGCAGCTGCTGGAGAATAGCTTTAGACCGCGTTGTGCCGTCCAACTTCCTCTGCACCTCTTGCGTTGACCAAAGCCCGAGGAGGTCATTTGTCTCTTCCGCGGTCCATGCTGCTTACATTTAATGGCATCCATCCTGGTTCGTAGTTGTGTGTGTTGCTGTACAGAATTTGCGGCATTTTGTTGTTGATCAGGTTAATTCTACCCCCCGCCTCCAACGTAAGCGTGAAGTATTGGTTCTTGGTTCTTGCCGGGCAGCTGAGAACCGGTTTTCGGTGCTTAGAGCCGGCCCGCTGCGGTGGAAACAGGAAGAACCAGAGCTAAAGCAGGCTCTAGGCCGGAACTGGCTCTGGAACCGGTTTGGTGGAAAAGGGGCATAAGTAGGCCCGTTCAGTAATCCATCCATGTCAATAAGGTAAGAAATGAAAAGAAGACATAATGTTAGTGAAATAAGTCTTTACAGTAAGTTAATAATAAATGATCAAGGTCAATGTAAGGATACTTTTGTAATAATGAACTGGGCCATCTCTGCCAGATCAAAGTTTCATGTTGACTCTAAGGAACACACACTCTACTCTGGCTTTTATAATAGGGCTGGGTATGGTTTGAAATTAATCACCAATTTGTTAGCAATTCCAAAATATCTAACAGATATCCTTTATTACAATTTATAAACAAACAAATATTTTATAAATTCAACAACCAAAGTCCAAACCTCTAAAATGCATTATGGTTGGAGTTGAATGGTTTTAACACAATAAAACACAGTATAAAATCTACAAAATTAGAACTAAAATCAGGTAAGATCTGAGTAAACTTGGCAAGAACCTGGCTAAGCACTCTATACTAACTGTCTAGACTTGATAGTTGACTATTGCAACAGCAACCAAAATGAAATTCAAGCAATATGTTTTAAGTTTGATACCCAGCCCTAATGTAATGTAACTACAAACAATAGAAAAATATCAAAAAGATGACACTACTCAAAATCAAAAATCTCTGCCTCTTTCTCTTTCCAAAAAGCAAAACTGCGGTCGATGTATTTACAGATTTCTTCATTGCTAAAACTGGAAATGTCAGTTCCGCTGTTCAGCATCCCCTCGTCCGGCGTAGGTGTCTGCACAATGACCTTAGGGACCTGTCTAACCTCTGGGAGGATATGTTTCACCACTTCTACAGCGCTTTCAGGCTGACTCGCGGTGTTTCCAAAAAACTTCACTTTCATGTCCTCAAAGCCGTCCTTCCACTCGCGGTTCCCAGCCTCGATGTCCTGAATGACAGCCTTATGGAAGTCCCTGACCAGTTCCCAGGGAAAGCTCCCCACGTGGTCGAAAACCTCGAAACACAGCAGGTGTCTAATTTTGCGTTCGTCCACAGGAAGCTCCAACTCGAGGATGTGGAAGTATCCCAGCATGAACAGGTCCAGAGTCAGGTTGTCGTACTCCACCGGCACACCGTCCAAACGAGGGAGGAACTGCTCGGGGGAGTATAGAGCCTGCTGCCTGTGGAGCCTGAACACAACACTCAATGGTTATTCGGTTTGTGTTGACACTCGGCTGAAAGTAAAGATGGTACGCTGAACCGCCAGATATTTTGTTGAATAACTTCAATGATCATCCAAATTTCAAACTTGTTTTTTTGATTTATTTCAGTCTTCAAATGAATTAATCAACTTATTGTTATTTTGAACAATTTCTAAAAACCTTTTTTTTTTGTTCAGTGAATATATTTAAAGGTGGGGTAGGTAATTTTGGAGAAACCAGCTCGAGATCGCTAGAATTTGAAAATACACAGCCGGAGAAAATCTGCCACTTCCTTATAGAGCCCCTCCTCCAACACACACGAACGCGCACATGACCAATGAGGGCACGAGATAAGTTTGTGCCCCGATGGCAGGCTGACAGGCAGGTAGGCCATCCAGTTATTTTAGCCGGGCCGGTTGGTCGTACTTTTTACAGTACTACGGCTTCCACTGATGACATTTTTTAATGGATTTTTTGTCAAAGCACTTAAGATATTCATTGCTATCTGGATGTTAAGAGCATTCCATGGAATATAACAAAAAGTGTATCTCGAGCCGGTTTCTCAAACTTACCTACCCCACCTTTAAGTCTTGATTAAAGCAAACAAATTCTCAGGTTTTCATTGTAGAGCTGAATCCAGTGACTTTTATGCCACTGGGGGGTAGTGTAAGAACTAAAAACAAACTGATTAACTTGCAAAGTTGATTTGGCAAACAAGTAAGCAAACAATTCCCTATTAACACATTTAACAGAGATTATGCAACAATATAAATTATATTTGAATGTGTTTTTGTGTCCACATAATAATTTTAGGTGCGTTTTCTTTGCTTAGCATGTAGCATATATGGATGGTGAATTACAGCTTGTATGTACAAAAGTTACTGTCTGCTGTTGAAAAAGAGTTGATGAGAGCTGTGAGAAGAAAATAGTACATTTGCTGGCTATAAAACCTCCAACCAACAAACCATAGCGCTGTGGGTTGTATGTGGACATAGTTGAAGAGACAAACATATTATGCCACCAAGTGTGAGAAATACTGTAGTAGTATGGGGCAATCGTACGGAAATACCTGCGTATTTGTCTGGACGGGACACTGGAGATCATGCTCCTCCAGTTCCCCAGCATCTTGTTGACGGCGCTCCTCTGCTTGAAGAAGTGTCCCAGAGAGCTGTTCATCATGTTGGACGGGGCGCTCTCCACGCTGGTCCTGCGACTCAGCCCTGGTTGGTCGCCCGTCCCTGGGTTCCCTCCACTCGTCTTCCTCTCTGCTGCGTCCTTACTCTTCAGGGTCACGGTGTAGGCCGACTTCTTCCAGTGGCCTAAGAACAGCACCACTATACGCTCCTTTCTGAGGCTGGTGGTCTCTAGAACATCTGCAACATTTTCATCATAGTCAATGCCGGAGTCGCTGTTCTGGTCCGTCTCTGGGGCCGGACACAGGACTTTAGGATTATTGTCTGACTCTGTGGCCTCAGGCTGTGTGGGGGAACACAACACAACAGCCTCCTCTGGCTCATCTGAAGGTGAGTTCTCTGTCTCAAAATTATACTTCAGAGTCCTCACAGACACACCAAACTGATGGATTTCATTCTCTATCCTCTCCCTGCGGCCCCTGGTGGAGTTCTGTCTGTCTGGCGTCTGAGAGAAGACGGATATGAGCTCGGTGTTGGGCATCTTACAGTAGGGCTGGTCTGTCAGGTTGGTCATGAGCAGAGACATGCTTTTCACGATGCCCGAGATGCGGCCACACCACACTGGTAGAGGAACTTGACTTGAGAAGTTTCTGAACTGTGTGTTGACTGTGATGTTCACTATGGGGGCGGGCAGAATGTGCCGGAGCTCCTCAGCTAGACGAGCGAGCTCAATCTCGTAGCCTTCACAGTTCCTCTGCAGGGAGACGTTGGCGATCTGCTGCTCCAAGTAGATGAGGTCATCCTCAGTCAGCAGCTCACCGGAGGGCCCCAGGATGGCGTTGTGGGCTTGGGAGTACCTCCAGCTGACTTTGGCATATCTGTTCCCATTTTCCTGCAAGAGAAGAGGCCGGCAGCAGGCAGCAAATAAACATGCGGGATGTCATTTTTATATTCCACATGGCTTAAGCGTGAGAGGAAAAGACTAATGCAACAGTAAAACTGCGATCCAAACCTCAGGAATATAACTTGACCAGCAATATGTTATGTGTTCAGTGATTTGTTAGGTGCAATTAAAAGTAAATGATGATGGAGTTTCCAAGGTTTTTTTCAAATGGTCAGGAATGCAGATTTAGAATAGCATCACAAATTCAGCTAACTGTGGTCAGGCTCAATGAGCATTTGTTTAGAAGGGGCTGTGCAGAATTATACAGATTTTACTCATTTTAAAATGAATAAAAGAGTTTCAATTTGATTCTCCCAAATGATGACCTATTGACTAACTGTTTTAGGTGATTTTATCAAAACAAAATCAAATTGCACAAAATCTATCCACATAAAATAAGTCAGGGATAATGAAAACAGAACGATGTTGATCACTGTTTCACATTATCCCGCTTATTACCGGCCACATACTAAATACAAAAATTATCATATTGCTTCCACTAAGAAACAAATGTTCCATTCCACGACGTACCAACGGCTGGAACTTCAAATAACAGCAGCACTGATCGAGGATTTCTGTATCTGTCCAAGTTCACAGATCTGTTCCACTAACACTTGAACAATGCCAGAGCCCACACCGTGCTCCTGTTAGTGTTTACTTTGATCCTCTTTGCAACAGCCATTATTTTGCTTAGCAGTGGTTGTGTTATGTGTTTGATGATTATTAAAAACTTCTAAAATAGCCAGATTGACCAATCAGAATTGAGTATTTAACTAAGCTGTGTGATAACTCCTGAATAACACCAAACTAGAACATGTCTAGGCTGGCCACGAACCTGTGCGGCTTCTATAATCACAAAAGATATGTAGTATTTGTACGAGGGGTTTTAAAGTTTTAGACTGTGGACCTTTCCTCAGACAAAGCTTGCACCCTATAGGCACTCAACAATTGAGACAAAATAGCCTAATATCGATGTTTCACATAACTTTGGACTACACTGAAAAAATGTCTAACTGTTCCTGCATTAACAATGTGAGCCTGATTCAGAGAGACCTTACCTTCCTCCTCTGGTCCTCCTCATCCAGCAGCCTGGCCTGCAGCTGCCTCACCATCACCTGCCTCTTCCACTCAGCGATGGGCCGGCCTCTCTCGTCGTGGGTGGGCACCAGGTAGTCGATGTCGGACAGGTTGGCCTGCTCAGTGGGCAGGACCACCATCTTGTTCTGAGAAAGATGCAGCATATGAGCTGCTAAAGAAAGGAAGCACTTACAAAAGAAGGATGTTCAACATTAGAAAGCTTACTGCACTTACTGCTTGTCCAGTGAACGTTCCTGATATTCCTGATTGTTTTAAGGATTGAATGGATTTCATGTCCCCAAGAAGCTTCCTTCCAGCTAGGAGGTTTGCGTGGGGCAACATGGTCTTATCAGCAGGGGCAGACTTCTGACTCCCAGCCACCTTGGGCCCATTGAAACCTTTAATAACTGAAATGCAAATCATAATCATAATCCTTTTTCCTGTCCAGTGCTGACTTGACCAATCTTGGTTGAAAGAATGATTTAATTACAGAAGCCTTAGAATCTAGTTTTCTCCTGTGTTTATGACTTAACAATATTTCATACGTTTGTTCACCTGTGTATACGCTAACTAACCAGACTAAACACCCTGAATAAGCTCTGATTAAAATACATTTGTAGACAAAAGAAAGACAACATAACTTGCTAATATTCTTTTACTAGGCAAAACGTTTTTTGTAAACACATTTAGAACATTTGTTCTCACCAGATGTTGCAAATTGAACCTGCACCATTCTGTTGATAATGCTTTTCTCTGGCTTGGCAGGAGGGGATGAAGCAGGTGAGGGGGGTGCAGGGGGGGGCTGAGGGTATCTGGCCTGCGGGGATTCCTCACTCTGAGGTTGCTGGTGTGAATATGAGAAGATACACGGTCACTTTGGGTTCAGGAAATAGTGAAGAATTATGAGGAAAAAGTGAACTGAGAGTTTACCTTCAAACTATCCATTGGTGTGTTATTGCTGTAGCTGTCCCTGCACGGGTCACTCAGGCTGCCGTAGTAATCCTCCCTGCTGCACTGCAGAACCACAGCCGGCTTCACCTTCACCTCCTCCTCCTCCTCCTCCTCCTCCTCCTCCTCCACTGGAGCTCTCTCCTGGGTGGGCTCTGCACAGGCTGTCTGCAATTATAACAGAGTCACACTCAGTACAAGAAAAGATAAAGATGAACTTTATTGTATCCCCAAGGAGAAATCCAGGTGTTCAGTTGTGACACACAGTACAATACACACATATGCACCAGACACGACCTATACACAGTAGGACTGAATACAAACACATGCATTTTGCTGTTAGGCGAGATGAGCGACCAGGCTGCCAGTTTGTCCGGCGCCAGGGAGCAGTTAGGGGTTCAATGCCTTGCTCAAAGCCACCTCTGCAGGGCCCAGGAGGTGAACGGGCAACTCTCCAGCTACCAATCCACACATCAGAATCAGGTAGGTTCACACGTACGAGGAATTTGACTAGGTGTCGTGGTGCATACATACAAATAAAAACAAAAATGTAAAAAAGAACACAGATAGCTAACTATATTAAGAACACTGTGATACAATATAGTAAGATAGCAATCAAATAAAGCAGTAATTTACATTGAAATAGAATGCAATAAAATAAAAATATACATCGTATTAGGTTGGTCCGATCGGGACTGATATGAGTTTTGGTCAAATCATGAGGTTAGGGTTGTATGTACTTTCACCAAAATCAAATACTCATTTATATTTAGTCTTTTCACACCAACTGTGCTGTAACATTCTCCCGGCTCACCTTACATACAATAGTTTGAGATAAATCCAACTGTGGCATGACAACAGTGACGTGAGTCCAATATGTATTAACTGTTGTGATGTTTCCAGTACCAGTGATTCGTTGAAGGGTAGAGCCTGTGTTATACTGTCAGAATCACATTGTTCAACAACAATAGAATAGAGACAACAGGAGCTGGTTGTCTCTACATAGATCTCCAAACTATCATCAAAACTCTTCCAGACCACAAATGCTTTTCCTATTTGCTTCTATTTAAAAAAGGTTTAGGTTTTGGTTTTCTAGTTTTGCACTTTTGTAAAGAAGGAAATACTTGAGGAAGGTTTTTTCCTTTTATTTGTTGTCAAGACTCTCGCTGAAGTAAAATCATCAAGGAAAGTAATATATATTTAAATCTGTCTGTAGAAAAATACATTAATATATAAAGAAGCTACAGTTTGTGGGAGATTGGGTCAGTGTTATCATTTGCACTATAATTCCTATAGAAAGATGTCTTTGGAATGTGTTGCACCGGTCAATGTGACATACAAGATGCTGGAGATCTTCTACCAGTCTGTTGTGGCCAGTGCTCTCTTCTTTGCTGCGTCTGCTGGGGGGGGGGCAGCATGCTGGGGGGGGGGGGCAGCATCAGAGCCGGTGACACCAGCAGGATCAATAAACTGATCAGGAAGGCTGGCTCTGTCATCGGCATCAAGCTGGACCCCTTTGAAGCTGGTGGAGAGGAGGACACTGATGTCCATCATGGATAACCCCACCCATCCTCTCCACCTGCAGCTGGACAGTCAGATAACCCCACCCCCCCTCTCCACCTGCAGCTGGACAGACAGATAACCCCACCCCCCTCTCCACCTGCAGCTGGACAGTCAGATAACCCCACCGTCCTCTCCACCTGCAGCTGGACAGACAGATAACCCCACCCCCCCTCTCCACCTGCAGCTGGACAGACATATAACCCCACCCCCCCTCTCCACCTGCACAGACAGACAGATAACCCCACCCCCCCTCTCCACCTGCAGCTGGACAGACAGATAACCCCACCCCCCCTCTCCACCTGCAGCTGGACAGACAGATAACCCCACCCCCCCCTCTCCACCTGCAGCTGGACAGACAGATAACCCCACCCCCCCTCTCCACCTGCAGCTGGACAGACAGATAACCCCACCCCTCCTCTCCACCTGCACAGACAGATAACCCCACCCCCCCTCTCCACCTGCAGCTGGACAGACAGATAACCCCCCCCCCCCCCCCTCTCCACCTGCAGCTGGACAGACAGATAACCCCCCCCCTCTCCACCTGCAGCTGGACAGACAGATAACCCCCCCCCCTCTCTCCACCTGCAGCTGGACAGACAGATAACCCCCCCCCTCTCCACCTGCAGCTGGACAGACAGATAACCCCACCCCCCCTCTCCACCTGCAGCTGGACAGACAGATAACCCCACCCCCCCTCTCCACCTGCAGCTGGACAGACAGATAACCCCACCCCCCCTCTCCACCTGCAGCTGGACAGACAGATAACCCCCCCCCCCTCTCCACCTGCAGCTGGACAGACAGATAACCCCCCCCCCCTCTCCACCTGCAGCTGGACAGACAGATAACCCCACCCCCCCTCTCCACCTGCAGCTGGACAGACAGATAACCCCACCCCCCCTCTCCACCTGCAGCTGGACAGACAGATAACCCCACCCCCCTCTCCACCTGCACAGACAGATAACCCCACACCCCCTCTCCACCTGCAGCTGGACAGACAGATAACCCCACCCCCCCTCTCCACCTGCAGCTGGACAGACAGATAACCCCACCCCCCCTCTCCACCTGCAGCTGGACAGACAGATAACCCCACCCCCCCTCTCCACCTGCAGCTGGACAGACAGATAACCCCCCCCCCTCTCCACCTGCAGCTGGACAGACAGATAACCCCCCCCCCTCTCCACCTGCAGCTGGACAGACAGATAACCCCACCCCCCCTCTCCACCTGCAGCTGGACAGACAGATAACCCCACCCCCCCCTCTCCACCTGCAGCTGGACAGACAGATAACCCCACCCCCCTCTCCACCTGCACAGACAGATAACCCCACACCCCCTCTCCACCTGCAGCTGGACAGACAGATAACCCCACCCCCCCTCTCCACCTGCAGCTGGACAGACAGATAACCCCACCCCCCCTCTCCACCTGCACAGACACAGCTCTGCTGTCACAAGGACCGAAACAGGAAAACATTCCTGCCCACTGCCATAACTCTGTACAACAAATCACCTCTGGCTGCAGAGAACTCTCTGCTCCATAGCTTCTCTCTTCACTGTACATTTTACATTTATATATTCAGTTTACTATTTAATATTCCATCTGTCACATACTTATGTATATATAATACCTTGCTTTATATCTTGTTATTGTTCATTTGTATTGTACAATGCCATGTCTTTTTATGCTGCTGCAACACAAACATTTCCCAAATTGGGACCTTATCTCAAATCTTATCTTATCTTATCTTATTTTGTGTAGGGAGTCAAGTACTCTGTATGATATTAAAGCATGAAAGTAAGTTAGAGTGGCTTTGTTCTATCAAACATTTTGAGATGCTGATAAAAGAAGAATGCTTTACTGTAAAAAAAATAAACTAAATCAAATCACTTACTTTGTAAAAGGTCCAGATTGAAATGAGGACAAGCACTATGAAATACATTTGAAAAAAGTGGGGGATAGTAAGCAACCCTGAATAATTGGCAGCATTTCACACCACTCTAGGGAGGATGTATGGAAACATTTAGATCCCCTTTAATGAACCTGCGCTGTCTTAATGCACTCCATGCAGCATGCGTATCAGATTCAGCTCTCCAAGGACATTATTAGTAACCAAAACATCAAAGCAGCCGCGCTGCGTGCTGTTGTGCTCGCTGTCCGTGAGGTGGTCCTTGCCATTTCCTCACACGCCACTTTGATCTCCAACGGCACGAAATATGCTGGGACACTGCTCAGGAGGAGCATTTCACTTCCCCGAAGTTGTGCAATCCGTAAATAGATAAACAAGGGGGGCTGGGAAACAGGGGGGGGGGGGGACTGATTCCTTTGTGACCCTTCTCGTAACAGTTCAATGTCCTAAAAGCTATGATGAACCGGCCTGTGTGTGTGTTTAATTAGTGGCCGGAGAGCATTTGGTTTTCATCAGTAGCCCATCACAATTGCCACGCAGATATAGATAGCCAACCCTGTTTTGGCCTGAACCCACTCCCCCTGAATCAAAGAGCCCGATCAGCACAGATTAGGAGCCAAGAGTTAAGAAACAGCTCCTCAGTGCTCTCAGTGTCCGGCTGCAGCACTAATCTGCTCCCTGTGGGTTTAAGTATTTCATGTGTATTTAAAACATGTCTTGTAATTCTGCTTCCACATGAAATATTCACGTTGTGGGTGATAAATTGTATTGTGGAATGTATACAGCGGGTGTACATTATACACAGAAGAACACTGTAGTGTAAATACATGTCCACTCACATGCTAAAATGCTCTCAGGTTTCCTGTGTGGAGGTAATGCTTGAAGCGCTGACACAATGTTTTTGCCAAATGTTACAGCTTTACTGCATTGACTGGCTTAAAAAGACAAATGACAATACTTTTCTACTTCATAACGGAACATTATCAGCTACTGAATCCCCAAAAAATAGCAAGAGAAAGTTCTGGATTCAAAAATGGAAAAGAAATCAACAACATAAAGTAAGGCCATGAGCCTGGAGTATTAGTCATGCCTAACCGTAAGAGGCCACAGCTGAAAAAAAGGTCAAACGTTGCCAAAACATGTCAGCTAGGGCCTCTTTAACAGACCGTTTCCTTTCATTTAACAAAACATATTACTCAGCCTGTCCAGTCACTTGCTTATGATAAAAGTTATCTAAGAAAAATATCATAATAAAGAACAACAAGGAGTCAAAATAAGCAAAAGCAGCATAGAGAGTACAACTATAGTGAAAATGGCCCATAAACCACCATGAAACATACTAACCTTGACCTTGAACAGTTCTCGCGCTGCACTCCGGTCAGACTGTGCGCTGAAACTCAGACCTGTGCAGCGAGGACTCGGGCGGTCCCTCCGTGTTGAGGATGTGACACTATCCTAAGAACACCAACCACTCGTTTGACACCATCATCCACATCTCTGCCAGTGGCCAAGGGCCGCCAGGCAATAAACAATAAACTCTGATCGGAGAATGCTGTTAATAATTAAAGGACAGGATAGGATGGCCGGTAATGACACTAATGCACGGACAAACCAATGGCCGACCATGGTTGTTGCACGAGGAGAAGTATCAGCGGAAAACTTGTCAAAGCAGCTGGAAATGAGACATGTTATCAGGTGCTTTTTTTCCACTTTAGACAATTGAATGGAGGAGGTTTTTGTGAGGGTGGGGGTAAAATGCAACGGAGATGATTAGTAAACTGTGACAGTGGAAACACAATGTGACACCATAAGCTTAGATAGATGGGTTTGGCTGATAAAGTGGAAAAGTTGACAACAACAGACACAGTGTTGGAGAAATTGCTGCCACATAATTAATTAGCAAAATCATCCACTAATTTACCAAATTCCAGACGAATATTACATCTGCCTCACCCAAAACCATGCTTTACATCATACATGCTGGAGGACATTTTGAAAAACTAATTAAAGATAGCCATTTACTGTAGGGCAGTGACTAACAGTTATTGCCATTAACAATTCATCTATTGTTTGTTTTCTTGATACATTTTTGGTCTTTAAAGTGTAAGAAAACAGTGAAAAGTGATTAGTTGTTTTTCCAGACCAATATTCTATATCATAAAGAAACCTGGTTTAATTGTGTCTATTTTTGGCATCTTAGCTTATAAATTACTTTAACGATAATTATCTCCGCCTATGTTTGTATGTCTGTTTGTCAGCAGGACTACTGAAAAACGTATTTAGTTATAAACGTATAAAATCAAAACAAATTGTTATGAAATTCTTATGAAGGAAGAACAAATCACATTTTAGAGCCGAACTGAATGGGGCAGATAAACACAGTATATTCTCACTGTTTACATTGCACGATACTTTAGAATGTGTCCGAATGTTGTCATCAATGGACTAAGACTTGCATTTTTCATACTTTGAAAGATAAATATGAAGAGAGTATTATGGGCTGCATTGATCTAGATTTCTTTGCTTGGTTCCATATCTCCCCATCTGTTATACACATGCAACTGTGATGAAGCCAGATGTTGGAAGATCTCTGACAAACACATGAGTTTATTACATTCTCTGCAATGATAATGACGATTCTATATTTCATAATTTATCATTCATATCAAAAGCCCGCTTAGAGTATTGTTTCGTTTCTCATGGCCAAAACAAATCGGAAATCTTGACATGAACAAAAACAGTGATGAATTAGACGACAATACGTTTCCTCTGTTCTAAAAATATCATGCTCAAACAACAACTGTTAGTGGAGAGCAAAAGCCACAAATGTGTGTGAATTAAACTTCACGGCACACACTGTTTATTGGCCTGCAGCTGTTGATGCGAGATGAGGATCTGTTGTGAGGAGTCTGACCTGGTTGTGAGGGATCCAAACACACACAGCTCCCCTGCTCACTGTCCCAATCCATTAGAGTGCTGCTCAGAAATGAGATTATCTGACTGACTTTAGAGCAGATGAAACCTGGGATCTACGCAGCACCTGAAACACCACCAAACTGTCATCAAACAGCATCTCATCTTTGGTACAGCAAGCATGACTGCTCTTCAGATATTATGAGTATTCAATCTATTACCAGCTATTACAGGTTCTTTGTCAGATGACCTCTTGGTTCACCCCAAACTTCGCTGGGTCTGTGTTTCCCATTCATACTTCACCAAAAAACCTGATCCATCATTCTGTCTTCCACCAACATCACATAGTATCCAGAGGTGACAATCATAGCACCACCCTGGAAAAAACATGACACACAATCAAAGGTGTGTTTGAAGCCAATGACATCCTGAACTCCGCTCCATAGAGGGATAGAGTTGCGAGTTACAGGCATCAGAATGGTGAAAACGCTGAAACTCAAGCTTGTGGATCTCATAACGGGCTCGGCCCATGGGCCCTTCACCTGAGCCGCGGGAGAGGGGTAACTGATAGGCCCTCAGCTGGCCCCGGCTCCGGCTGCATTGGACACTGCCGCGGCCCCTGTGCTAATTAGCTCTCATTGTTGACAGAGGATTATTTGTGAAGGGGAGCCACGCCTCGCCGGCTCCCTATCATCCTCCTATTGAAGTGCTGCTCTTCTCTGATGAATTATTAATGGCTTCTATCAGTCCACAGCTTTCTTCACTCTGTGTGCTACAGGCGGCAGGTGAAGTGTGATGGGGAGAGCCGAGGACAGCTACAGGTGGATAGCTGCGAGGCTTCAAGGGTCAACAGGTCTGCTTACAGAGGGGCTCCTTCAGTGAACTGTATGATGTGTATTTAAAATCAACTCCAAAAGCTCTAATACCAGTATCAGTATCCTCCTGCAACGCCAATTATTATGTACCTACTTGAGGGGAGACACTGCAGGTGAATGGGCTAACAGATGTATCTAATAAATATCACCAATGGTTTTCCCAGTTGATTGATAACAACAAGACAAGGATTTGCTGATATGCAACATCTGCTGATGTGTAAACATTTCAAGAGCAGGACACTGACCCTCGGTCGACTGGCTGTCGCTGTCTGTGATGAAGTCACATTTCAAACTGAAAGTTGTCGGTTCAATCTCAGTCCCAGCAATACACATGTTGTTTCTTTGGGCAAGATGGCAAACCCAGCGGTGTGTGAATGGGTGAATGATGACTACACTTTATTTTTTCATTTACAATTTACCACAAAACCAGGCGCTAAATTCTTGTTTGATTTTGTTTGCAGATGAGAGTCAAAGATTGAACAGAGAGGATTTTATACTCCATAGTTCAGAAATATTGTCAACCTGTAAATGTCGTTAGGTATGTCAATTGTAAATCCCTGTATCTATGTTGTTTGATGTCCTTTTTGTTGTTCTGTTGTTTTATGTTTTGATGTCTTCATGTGGAACCTACTTGCAGCAGGTCTCCCTTGAAAAAGAGATCGATGATCTCAATGGGATTCACCTGGTTAAATAAAGGTTTGAAATGAAAATATTTATGAACAAACCTCTCTGTAAAAAAAACTTCAGAATATATATAGAAATAAAACTAGAAAGTGCACATTTCTTATCCTTAAATATATGTATTGTAACATTTCAAACATTTTGCAAGCACTACTCAAACATTAAGATAATTATTTATTATATTTCAAGCTTTCTGAAATGTCATGTTTAATTATGCAAATGAGACATTTTGTATTGCTTACTTTTTTGAATTTAGGAGAAATCTACAGACACAAATAGAACAAAAATACTAACAAAAACATCTACATGTGTATTTTGGAAGTTCCCTTTCCACTCGTCTGAAAGAGGACAAACTGCATGGAACAAGGCGCAACAAACTGACCATTAATTTGAGTAAATGCAGGACAGCTTTTTACGGCATTGACCCTTTGACTTGAACAGGCCACACTAGCACAAACAATGTGTTCACACTAAAATATTCATCAAGCACACTAAGGAGTGTCGTGCTTTCTACACAAAACAAAAGAGCTTATCTCTCAGGGCAAACTGAGAACCAAGTATCTCCTCCGGCACTCACGGCACCGTCGCCTGTAAAGCCCATCAGAACACAAAAGCCATCATCCTCCACTCTCTAGACCTCTTGGACTGAGAGCCAAGCAATAATGCTGAGTGGCAGATAACAGAGGAGGCCTGTCAGGTTCCACATGCATGAAATTCATGTCGCAAAGTAAGACAATTATTCACCAGGGTTCCAAGACCTTCCAGATTGTTGCTGTTGACCAGAAGCAAGCTTTGAATTTTATGCAAAAATAACAAGGTGGGTAGTGCTAACAGAGGAACAAAGCAGGAAAAGGTGTGAAATAAAATACACTGTGGATGAGAGAGAGCTTACATTTCTTTTCATGGCACGGAGATGTCTGGCACATTCATGGTGTCCATTGTACTCCGCCAAGTCTGCTGCTGTAAACCCATCAATATCCTGATCTGAGGGGTTCGCTTGATTGGCCAACAGGAGTTTACAACTCTGAAAATAGGAATATAAGACATATATATATATGTATGGAACATACTTTTATGAAATTGTATTTGCTTTATTCAAGATAAGACATAACTATAACAACAGAAAAGGAAACCTAAATAAAAAATGTGCTCCCAACCTCCAGCTCTCCATTTTCTGCAGCATCATGAAGTGGGGTCCCTCCCCAGTAATCCTTGATGACCTTTGAACCCATGTGAAGCAGCCTCTCCAAGATGCAACAGTGCCCTCTGCTGGCAGCGAAGTGCAGAGCAGTGGCTCCGTACCGGTCCTGGCCGGACAGACTGACGGCAGTGCAGCTCACCTGTGGAGAGAATGATAAGGATCAACACGAGTGAGCAACACTTTGATACGTCACAGCAACACGAGTTCTCTCCACTGACCAGCCACAGCACCACAGCCTGGTGGCCCATGTGAGCAGCAGCATGCAGGCAGGTCATGCCATCGTGGGCCCTCAGGTGGACGTCGGCCCCGCAGTTCTTCACCAGGAACTCTGCAACCTGCAGCTGGCCCTCCTGGCAGGCCAGATAGAGCGGGGTGGCCCCAAGGACCGTCTGCTGGTCCACACATCTGGAGACCAACAGACAGCAACAACGGGCTAGTGAAACTGAATTTCCCCTCAGATTGAAAAAAGCTGATCTTATTATGTGTATGAATAATGTTATTATGTTAAAAACGTGTGCAACTCACTAATCTGCCCATTATTTTCTAGATTAAAATAATTAAAATAATAAACTAATAAAAGGAAAAAGTGAAAATTGCCCACCCAAGTTTTTCAAACTGCAAAGGGATGTTTGTGATTTCTGGTTTTGTCAGTCTCAAACCCCAAATATTCACTGTAATATGATATTAAAACAGGCCAAGTCTATAGATGTGGGTTGAGAACACTTTTGCGTTTAAAATGACTTTAACAATTACAGTAAACAATTATCAAAACAGTTTCTGTTCAGTCGAGACAGATACTATAACATTCAGAATCTTAAAGAGAAGCCTTTAAGAATAAAAAAAGGATTACAAAAAAATGATGTTTCCCAAAATGTTTCAAAATGCTGAGTATTTAAATCTCAGAACAAGTACAAATAAAGGAGTGTTTATCAGACCTCTGCTCCAAGCTTAACATTTGTATTTTGTAATTGTTATAATGGTTAATAATAGTGACAGATAGAGTTCACATTAGGACATGATGGAGGATCTTTTGATCTGAAGTGATGGACAAACTTAATACTGAAATAAACAATGTACAGTTTGAATAATATGAACAGTTTTACTGTTGTTAAATAAACTGTACGGATACTTGTTATTAGTTATTTAGCCATGACAGGTGAACCCGACCCACCTGGTTTGTCAGTCACACAGAGCTGCATTAACATTGACATACACACTTTACTTCTACAACAACAAGGCTGGCATGTGACTAACAGTGTTAGTGGGGGGGGGGGGGGGGGGGGGGTTTACACTGCTCCGAATCTGTGTAGCTTAATGCCACAAGTCATGTTGTCTAATTATGATGTCAAACCAAAGGCACCCAAAGCTGTAACTATCATATTACTATCAAATGGTCGAGTGTCTCCATTTTCTAAAGGCAACAGATTAGTTATAATGGTTTATAGTTGAGACACAGTCTGAGTGTTTCTTAAATAAGTTTCCCTTCTTTTGGTTAGAACAGGTGTGTGCAAGAGTTGTTGTATCTAACTTCAAAAGTTCAGTTGAATAAATAGTAGCTGTTCCAGTACATTTGTACTATATCCTGCTTTCTAAAATTAACAGATGTTTGACCATGACCTTTAGTCCTATGCCTCAGTTCATCTGGTAAATCATTGATCAGGTTAAATGGTGCACTACTTGTACCCCAGTGAGTGGCTCTGCTGTTACCGTAGCCCAGTGTTGTATTCAAGTCACCAATTCACGAGTCCAAGTCACTCTCGAGTCACCACTCTTCGAGTCCGAGTCCAAGTCCGAGTCACCCAAGGAGTGTCCGAGTCGAGTCCGAGTCCAAGTCCGAGTCACCCAAGGAGTGTCCGAGTCGAGTCCGAGTCCAAGTCCGAGTCACCCAAGGAGTGTCCGAGTCGAGTCCGAGTCATCATTACCTGTGTTCGAGTCCGAGTCCAAGTCCAAGTCACCCAAGGAGTGTCCGAGTCGGGTCCGAGTCATCATTACCTGTGTTGGAGTCCGAGTCCAAGTCCGAGTCACCCAAGAAGAGTCCAAGTCAAGTCAGAGTCACAAGTCTTCATGTATTAATGTTCGTGGATATATGTGTTGAAATGTAGCTGCTCCTCTACATTGCTTTTATCCTGTCATGTTATACTAACATGTCTATTGAACTGCTGTGAAGCCAGTTTGGCTACAATTCTTGTAATAGTATTATACAAATATAAAGCTTATTACTAATATTAATATTATTATTGTAAATGACCTATAATATGTCTAACTATATTTAAAATGAGTTACCTTTTAGAGAAGTGATTATATTTGTATGCCAATATTTTCCAATGGTAACGTTTTCGTTTTGCACTTTTATTTTGATAGTAATAAGATCGGGACTATTATTTTGAAGGAACTTTTACCGGTTACATCGGTTTACCGATAAAGATTAAGCCCCAGAAAGCACATGGCTACTTAGCATGCAAAATGACGTCATTCTGCATGTTAAGTAGCCATGTGCTTTCGTGTTATCGGCTGAATCTTTATTTATTGATTAGATCACGTTACTCTGATGATAGTGTTCAATAGAGATGGAAAATCCGGATCCTTTTACGGACTCAGGGTCTTCTGAGTCAGTCATTGAAGAGATCCGGATCATACGAGTCATTTGAGTCATATGAGTCAGCATCACCAAGACCGTAGAAATCCTATCGGTGAAACCGAAAAGTTGTTGCATTTCACGAGCATATTATTATTCCATATATTTTGAATATATATATATATTTGTATATATATATATATAATATCTGCATGTATATTTTCTATTTCGACATGTATATTTTATATTTTCTTTTTCTTTCTATTCTTGTATATTTTGTAGTTTTGTTTTATTGTAAAATGCCTTTTATGCTGCTGTAACAATTTCCCAATTTGGGATCAATAAAGTACTATCTATCTATCTATCTATCTATTGAACTGACGTTATATTAACCTCCGCTACACAGTGTATTTTGCTTTAATAAAAAATGTTGATCACAAAAAAAAGGGTTATTTTGCGATTTGGCAAATCTGAGTCTGCTGTTGACTCGTGCATGAGGACGAGTCTGCTGGATCTCTGGATCTGCTGCTATATACGGCTCCGAGTCCGCACGAGTCTGCTCTGCTGTGTGTTGCACAGTGAGTCAGGATTTGCGAATCTGAGTCTGCTGTTGACTCGTGCATGACGACGAGTCTGCTGGATCTCTGGATCTGCTGCTATATGGTTACGGCTCTGAGTCCGCACGAGTCTGCTGTGTTTTGCACAGCGAGTCAGGATTTGCGAATCTGCGAATCTGCGAGTCTGCTGTTGACTCGTGCATAATATAGCGCGGGAGCCGGGTGCTGGAGGAGGGGCTATGCTCGTGCACATGACGAGTATGGATCGCTGGATCTGCTATGCTATTACGGTTAGGAGCCGTCGGCTCCTCTGAGTCCCCACAAGTCTGCAGGAAGTTTCACTGATCCGCGTCCCCTCCCCTGAGCCAAACGATCACTTCTGGCAGCTATCCTGTATACTTGCTAAAGGGTAGGCAGATGGACTGGGGTACGTTGTAATGTGATTTTACATGTTATAAAGAGAGTAGCGAGTGACGCAATTTATAGTTTTAATTTGTACGTCACACCAAGTGTGGGACTCAAGGACTCGGGTTAATGGAGAGGGGAGACTCGTCACGACCAGCTCATTTCTAGGATCCGGGTTAATGATCCGGATGAATCAGGACTCGCCCATCTCTAGTGTTCAAGACAGCCTATATGCCTGAACTCCATCCTGAGTAATGTGTTACGGAGCCTTCTCTTCAATATTGTTTCCACATAACGAGCATTTTGCGCTGCTCTTTTCCAATGTGGAAGCAGAATGTGTGAAAGCATACAGCACGATGCGGGGTGTGTCTCTAGAGTCTAGAGACACACCCCGCATCGTGCTAGAGTCTAGACATCTCTAGACTGGAATAGCGGGGCCCAGTACGTGAACTCGCCTCGCAGGTGCACACGCCAGGATAGAGGACATCAGACTCCAGAGAAAACTTGCTCGAGTCCGAGTCCAAGTCGGAGCGTCAATGTACAAGTCGAGTCCGAGTCATCGTGGGGGGAAAAATTCACGAGTCCGAGTCCAAGGTTGCGGTCGAATAGTCCATTTAGCTTAGGAACCTTCCTAACGGAGTGAAATGACCCGGAAGTCCGTCAGTGGCAGCCATGATAAGTGCCGTTCGAATTCTCTAAATGAAAGGAAAGGAGGTTTCAAACTTCCTTTATAACCTCCTTTAGCTTAGGAACCACTGGACCTCCCTAACCGAAAGGAGAGGAGAAATTGCTGCCCCACAATGCCTTGCGGCCGCGGCATTTGCCGTCACACAACAGTCGGCCGTTCACGGAAACAACCGATTATGAACGAGAAATGATATCATGAAAGTTACGGTGCTTATTAAGCATTTTAAAACGTATGTGGTAAGTTGCCAAAGTGCTTTGTTTTGAACGTTCATCAGTATTATAATCAAAAAGAGAAATATGAACGTTAGTTTTTACTGAAATTATCAAATAAAGTCAACATTTCACAGTGTTTACTGAGCTGTGTGGGGTTTGTTCAACTTTTAAAATATGTTTGAATGGTGATATACACAGTGATAGATGTTAAGGACTAACGTTTATAATAAATACATTTGTATTGATTTTAAGATCTTTTCATACAATCATACGTATTGGGATCATTTGTATTAATGTGGACCGGAGGGAGAGGGTGACGAGCATAAGTTTCACTTTCCTTTTTTATTTCAATTCCAACTTTGGTCATGAAGAATATGTTTCTCTGTTGTCCCCGTTCATAAAGCATAAAACAACAGCATCAGAGCACGGTGCAGAGTCTCTAGATGAGTTTACAGTAGTCCCTTGTTCTTATTAAACATCCATGTTGTAGTCCGCTGTATAGAAAACTGTAGTTTCCATAGTTTCCCCACAGCAGCAGGCGCACATTTATGACCTCCGCTGGCGCATCATAAACACGTCGGATAGTGAAAGTGCAGTCGGATTCTCTAAAGTATCGCAGTCTCTTCTCCTAAGTCCTTTTGAATTCTCCTATCCACTATCCCTTAACCCCGTGACGTTTCACTCAGAGGTCAATGAATAGACGACAGGGTTAGAACTTAGGAGCTGATTTTTGGACTATTCGACCGCAACCCAGGTCATCGTACGCGAGAATTCACGAGTCCGAGTCCAAGTCATCGTGGGCGAGAATTCACGAGTCCGAGTCGCGTCAATCAGTGCGCGAGTCCGAGTCGAGTCCATAGACTGTATATATAAAGGTCGAGTCACGAGTCCCGAAAATCGGCACTTGAGTCCAACTGGAGTCCGAGTCCAGGACTCGAGTACTCCATCTCTGCCGTAGCCTATGTGGAAAATGGTAACTGATTTAAATTTGGGTTTTCATTATTTTGAAACCGATTTGATTTCAATATACCCATCCAAATATTTCTGTGTAAGAGAATAAAAAGCCTAACAAAGTGGTGCTATGCTGAACTTCAGAAGGCTACATTTAAGATAACAAGTAAGCTACCATTAATAGCTGCTAGCATACCTGTAACTGTAAATGTAGCCAGGCTGAATGCACATTACATAAACGTCCTCCCATCCACCCTACACCACAGGCTGCAATTGAGCTACTAGAAAACTAGAAAGTGATCTAGCCTAAAGGTTGAAACTGTAGCTAAAATATATTGAAAAGTATTCAATCTCCATGAAAAAGTTACTTAACCTCTTAAGCACGGCGGTCCCCCCATTGGACCCCTCCCACCGTTTTTTTTCTCGAGATAATGTCTCAGGGCTTCTCAACATTTATGAAACTATTAATGTGTAGCACCAGATTAACGGGAAGAATCTCAGCTAACTGAAGATATGAACCATTTTTACCAAAACAAAACACAAGTCTCACAAGAAGCGTCTAAATGACCCCTGAGCGAAAAAATTCTAATGCACTGCGGCACACAATTCAAGATAAAGATACCCTTATTATTTATCGTAGCTGCACATACAATATAGCCGATTAAAGCTGAGACTCCACTGATTATTTAGGTATAGTATCATCACTGAGCCATCCGAACTTGCGACAGGGGAAGCAAACACAGACATCACAACACGTACCTTTACGGAGCATTTACGGCAGATCGTCTCACCGTAGCTGTCAATTAGGTCAAAAGACGTGTTCAATGGCATTAAAACGAAAAAAAAATGCTACAATTGTTGATCCATAGGTTAATGATGTACCTGTGCCTTTGAAAAAATTATTTATAGTCCATAATTCCATTTTTTATGTAAAAATCGGAGCGGAAAAGTTAGCTGCTAATGGTAGCCACCAGAGTGTATGCAGCTTCCGGTTTTGGTAACGCGTCACTCTCACTCCTTATTTGTTAACGTTTTGGTGTGTATATAACTTTCCCTCGATTCCATTGGCTCTAGCGGTTATAAAGAGATTTCATTCATCAAAATCGAGCAAGGGGGGCCAGAGATAGGTCAAATCCACCCAAATGACCCCAGAAGTGGGGGTTTTTGGCTAAATCTCTCTAAAAAGGTCAGATTTCACTTGTTTTGCATCAATCTTGATACAGGGTACTTATTATATGTTGTACTTTGGATTCCTAAAGCTTTTAGTCTACTAACCCATCATCCAAGGGTAGTTTTCACTATAAGTAAAAAAGAATTTTTGGATGGACACTATAATTTACAGTTTTTTACTATGTAAAATCTGAATTTTCTTTAAAATAAAAAACATCTATATTGATTCTGACTTTTCTACATCCAACTCACAGGTTTATCATTACTTTGAGAATAAAGATTATTAATTTAACCCTTTTAGAAGGGAAGATATGGTCATTTGTTCTGGGAATGTCATTTTCGAGCCTGAGACCTGAAAAACAGGCTCAGGGCTTAAGAGGTTAAAGGTCACCTATTATGCAAAATCCACTTTTTCTATGTCTTTTGTACATAAACATGAGTCCCCTCTGTGTTTTTCTGTGAAAAAACATTTGCTCACTTGTTGTCCTGATCCATTTATATAAAAAAAATATTTTTTTCGGCTGCGTACTTTCAAATTCTAGCGCACTCAAGCTGGTTTCACCATTCTTACCTACCCTACCTTTAACTAAAAAGTAAAGTTAGTTTAAAAACAAGTTGATTAGACCTTGGTAACCTGTTGAAATAGTTAGCTTAAAGTAGTAGATGAAACAGATGAAGCTAGCTAACAAAACTAAATAAAAGAGAGCTTGCTAATAGTACTGGATACATGATCGAAAGGTTGCAATAAAGAAAGTTTGCTAAAAATAATGATTATACAGTTTAAATAAATAACGCTAGCTAACAATACTGGAAATATTGGTTGAAATAGAAAAAACTAGCTAACAGTACTTAAAAAATTATAAAAATCTCTTTAAACATAGATGGTTGAAATTAAAAATATAACAACAATTATTCAATAAATTGTTAAAAATAAAGCTAGCACACAGTAATGATGAAAAGTTTGAAATAGACACATAAAACAAATCTTGATATACAGTAGATAGCTATCTTAAATGAACATATACGGTGATATACATGTAAAGCTCGAATCTGACATTCCAAGGGGTATATCATCTAAGACCAATGAAAACTACAAGTACAAAATGGTGGGAACCACTCAGTGAGGGACTGGCTACTTTGTAGTTGTGGAAGGAAGGTTGAAACTGTTATACAGTAAAAAAAAAAACATTCTATTACAGTCGATGCACTCATGGTGAAAGATGAATTAGGATTTGTCTTTGAAAGGGTTCCCTTCAGCTCACCATATGGTTACCTGAGCAAATGGCTCAGCTTGTGAGGCTAATAAAGTCAAATGTCAGTCACCGGTCTCTAGTATTAGGACAGTAGGCAGCTTGTGGTCAGGATGCTGGTTTTATAGTTTTTTGGACTCTCCAGAGTTTGTTGTTTGCCTCTGTTCAATTATTATTATTTTTTAATAAAACCCATATCTGGTGGAATGTTGGCACTGCAATATTCAGTAGTGTTCTCAGCCTTATTGGTTTCAAAAGAAGTGAATAAGAAGAACAATTAGCAAAGCTTGTGAACCCACCGCGGTGCGTGTTGAACAAGCAGCTTTAAACAGGTGAGGTCCCCATTGGCTGCAGCATAGTGAGCAGGTACAGCTCCACAGTGTGTCTTCATCTCCGCTGCCCCTCCAACAGAAAGCAGCCACTGAATGACCTCCACACAACCGAACCGCGCCGCCAGGTGGAGCACCGTGGCCCCGGCTGCATCCCGATCCTGGGAACAACACACAGATGGGTTATTAGATCAAGGCTGAGAGAGAACACCTCTATTGTAAAGGCTTTTTCTAATAAACACTCTTGATCATCAAGACAGGTCAAAGGAGTTTCCTATGAAATATGTTTTTCAAAGCAACAGTAGGGATTCTCCTAAGGTCCACCAATTAAGACATTTGGTGGTATTTGATAAACATTTATTTGTGAAAATATGGAGAACCTTTTATTTATTATTCTAGCATTTAGATTCAAGAAATGATCAGGTGAAGAGTAATTTCTGTGGACAATGCAGTTTCTAAGCTAGTTGAACTTGTTTAAGTACTTAACATTTTTTGATTCTATTGCCATAAATAAAGTATCTTTGGTATAGATCATGATGCATTCTTGTTTTTAGTTTTTTTTAAGTTACTGTGAATGACATCACAACTGCAATATTAATCATATAGGATATTTTTCCACTTCACTTTAATTTATTGTCATGTTTTGAGCAAAGCACATTTATTTTTTGTTATATATTATTTTAATATAAAGGGCTGTATATCATGGTGTTAAACATTTAAATAATAACAACAAATTGAATATGTGTTCTTTAATTTAAGCTGCAAATTCAATCATAATGGATTTCATCATTTCTAGAGCCTTACTTAATAGCTACATTCAGTGGGAGCATCTGGACATAATTACATGTTCAACTTCATATTAATGGATACCCAGTTAGTCATCACCAAATGATGTAATGGAGGTTAAAAGGTAGTGTACAGTACTCTTTACAACTGCAGTGATGTAACCTCATACTGGGAGCAGTTAGATGACCATCTAAAGCCACCGCCTGAATTTAGACTCACAGTCAGTAGAAATGACCAGAGAAGCTGAATATGTGGCACATTTCGAAGGCATTTAAGCTCTCGGGATATGTTCTCTCTCTCTTTCTCTGTGGAGATTGTACAGAGTGGATACACCTACCTCAATGTTGCAGCCCCCCAGGTCTAGCAGCCACTGCAGCTCCCGGACGTGCCCTGTTGCGGCTGCATCGTGGGCAGGGGTGGCCCTGTTGGAGGCCCGGGCGTCCGCTGCCAGCCCCAGCTCGCTCACCAGGAACTGCAGGCACTCCAGGCGTCCACACCTCGCCGCATGGTGCACCGGGCAAGCACCTTGAACATCAGTAATGGTAGGTGAGAGGTGACCGGAAGACGCCAGCTCCCTCAGGAGTGCGACATCCCCCCCTCGAGCAGCCTGGAAGGCCCGATGGAGCACCATCCTCATGGCTGCTTTGAGCTACTGATGGCCCACAGAAGCAGCTCCCTACAGCTCTCTGGCTCCCACCAGGTTATCATCTCTAACTCACTCATGCTCATTCAATAACAACAACTCAGGCACTCATTGCCTCTTTTCTGAGCCAGGAAAGTGACACCTGAGCTGGCAGCCAGCTGGCCAGCATGGCTGTAGGGGAGAGGAAGGGGGGGTCAGTACGAGTAAGATAGAAAGGTAATGAAAGACGGTGGAGGCGCGTAACTCGCAGCCTCCCACTGTCCTTTGTGTGGCAGTGACCATATGCTGGCACACGCACCAACGCTTCACTGGAGATGGGGGAGCTGAGGCGGCACGGAAACTTAAGTAATGGGAGAAGTAAGAGGCATGGTGCATTACAACCACTGTTATTTTGTACTACTATTATAAATAATCATCTCAATGGGGATGGCTAAACAAATTATACATTTGATAAATGATTGTCTACAGATCATATTTTATAGTTGATTGAATTTGTTTATTTCTCTCATAAAACTCATACATGTTGCCCTGACTCTAATTAGCTGATTAGCTCCTCACATGACATGATGGAAGCTGAGAACAGTCATCTCTCTATAGCATCATCCCTCAGGTTCCCCTTTATTATTTATATTAAATATTTCATCCATTTTACATGATCAGGTAGTGGAACAAAACACACACACGATGTTATTATTTGACCCAGAAGAAGGTAATCAGAGCATGTCTTCCAGCAGCTGCACAGTCTCCCTCAGGTCCTCCACAACTGCATCCACATCTGCCTTGGTGGTCCCCCTCCCCACGCTCAGCCTCAGGGCGTTCGCTGCCCGCTCTGAGGGGACGCCACAGCTCAGGAGGATATGGGAAGGCCTGATGGAGAGACATTGCAGGGTAGAGGTATGTGATGACTAGGCTTGGGGAGTAACAGATTACATGTAATGGGATTACGAATTAGAATACAACAAAAAAAGGGAGCTGTATACCCTTAAAGTTACACCTGCATTTTCTTTTAGGTGTCTTATTTGGTTTTCATTGAGGCTACCTTCATTCTTTATTTTGAATATATATATACAGTGGAGGAAATAAGTATTTGATCCCCTGCAGATTTTGTAAGTTTTAATGCACTTTATATACTATTTTTATATCAATATTTGTAACTATTTATTGCCCCGTATGATTGTTTATGTTGTCTGTCCTATTGCCGTGTTTTTTAGTGTTCTGTATGTGTTTGTATTTTTTGCACACCGGGACAGAGTTGCACTCTGAATCTCGTTATTGTTACGGTTTTGTATTTATGTTTTCATTTTCCACCTTTTGTTTTGAAATGTTTTCCTCCTTGTGTCTTCTCTGTTCCTTCTTCCTGTGTTTGCCTTCCTGTCGTTAGTTCCCCTGGTGTGTCTGATTGTCTGATTGTGTTCACCTGTTGCCCTTGTGTTTCTGCCTCCCTTACCCCAGCTGTGTTTTGTCTTGTGATTACCCCTCTCTGTATTTAGTCTTGTCTTCCCCTGTGTGCCTTGTCGGTTCATTGTTGGTTTTTCCTGTCTCCCTCCATGTTGGCCACGATCGTTTTTGGTATTGTATCTTCCTCGTGTTACCTATGTTTTTTCATGCCATGTTTTTTGTCATCAGCTTTGTAAATAAAGCTCGTTTTTGTTTATAGACCTGTTACCTCTTTTGTAGTCTGCAGTTGGGTCCTACCCTTTCCACATTACCTAACAGAATGAACCGACCAGCTTTGGACTCAGCAGACTCGGATCGTTTTGCTCTACAGGCAGAATGTCTTGGGTACTCTCTGGAGTACATTTGTTATACTTGGAATGGCGCCTCTTCTAGACGTGTAGAGAGGCTGCGTTGAAGGAGGCACGTCAGGAGGTTGCTCGCCAGCCCTGGCTTAGGAGCATGTTGCCTGAGTGGCTACAACTTTTCACAAGTAGTCCTGAGGACTTGTCCGAAGCCTCTAACCCTTTCCTGGGGTATGACCAGGCCTTGGGAGGCCCACAGATCCTCCAAAGAATCTCTAGGAGACGCAAGACCAAGATTCCAGCCCATGCTCCAGTGGTTCCAGCTCCAGTTCTGGCCCCAGCAGCCATGGTTCCAGCTCCAGATCTGGCCCCAGCAGCCCCAGTTCTGGCCCCAGCAGCCATGGTTCCAGCCCCAGTTCTGGCCCCAGCAGCCATGGTTCCAGCTCCAGATCTGGCCCCAGCAGCCATGGTTCCAGCTCCAGATCTGGCCCCAGCAGCCATTGTTCCAGCTCCAGATCTGGCCCCAGCAGCCATTGTTCCAGCCCCAGCAGCCATGGTTTCAGCCCCAGTTCTGGCCCCAGCAGCCATGGTTCCAGCTCCAGATCTGGCCCCAGCAGCCATGGTTCCAGCTCCAGATCTGGCCCCAGCAGCCATTGTTCCAGCCCCAGCAGCCATGGTTTCAGCCCCAGTTCTGGCCCCAGCAGCCATGGTTCTGGCTTCAGTTTCGGCTCCAGTACTGGCTCCCCGGCCGACGCCAGCCCCCCATGTTTTGTCAGTGGTTCGGCCCACTCCAGCCCCTCGTGTCCTGTCGGTGGTCCGGCCGACTCCAGCACCTCGTCTCCTGTTGGCTCTCCGGCCGACGCCTACCCCATTTCCTGTACCGTTGGAGGTCCCGCCGACTACTCTTCTGCCGGGGGTCCTGCCAACCCTATGTCCTGTGCTGTTGGAGGTTCCGCCGACTACTCTTCTGCCGGGGGTCTTGCCAATCCTATGTCCTGTCCCGTTGGGGGTCCCGCCGACTACTCTTCTGCCGGGGGTCCTGCCAACCCTATGTCCTGTGCTGTTGGAGGTCCCGCCGACTACTCTCCTGCCGGGGGTCTTGCCAACTCCATGTCCTGTCCCATTGGGGGTCCCGCCGACTACTCTTCTGCCGGGGGTCTTGCCAATCCTATGTCCTGTCCCGTTGGGGGTCCTGCCGACTACTCTTCTGCCGGGGGTCCTGCCAACCTTGTGTCCTGTGCTGTTGGAGGTCCCGCCGACTACTCTCCTGCCGGGGGTCTCGCCAACTCCGTGTCCTGTCCCATTGGGGGTCCCGCCGACTACTCTTCTGCCGGGGGTCTTGCCAACCCTATGTCCTGTGCCGTTGGGGGTTCCGCTGAGGGTCCTGCCAACTCCACGTCCAGTATCGTTGGGGGTCCTGCCGACACCTGTTCCGCTGTGGGTCCTGCCAACCCCATGTCCTGTCCCGTTGGGGGTCCCGCCGACTACTGCTCCGCCGGGTTTCCTGCCAACACCAGATCCTGTCCTGTTGGGGGTCCCGCCGACACCTGTCCCGCCGGGGGTCCTGCCAGCTCCATGTTCTGTTCTGTTGGGGGTCCCGCCGACACCTGTCCCGCCGGGGGTCCTGCCAACTCTGTGTCCTGTCCTGTTGGAGGTCGCGCCGACACCTGTTCCACCGGGGGTCCTGCCAACTCTGTGTCCTGTTCCGTTGGGGGTCCAATCGACACCAGCCCTTGCTCCATCCGGGGTCCCGTTGGCACCGGCCCATGTCATGTTCGGGGTCCCGGCTGCGCCTGTCCCGTCGGCTCCGGTTCCTGTCCGGCCGATGCTGGGTCCCGTCGCCGCCTTCTTGTTCGCCCTCGAGCCCGGCCCCCTGAGTGCCGCAGTCTTCGCCCTCGAGCCTGGCCTCCTGAGTTCCCCAGCCGCGGTCTTCGCCCTCGAGCCCGGCCCCCTGACTCTTCCGGCCGCTGCCTTCGCCCTCGAGCCCGGCCCCTTGGGTTCCCCAGCCGTGGTCTTCGCCCTCGGGCCCGGCCTCCTGACTCTTCCGGCCGCTGCCTTCGCTCTCATGCCCGGGCCCCTGAGTTCGCCCGCTGTGGCCTTCGCCCCTTTTTGGACTCTGCCTTGCCCCCGGGCTGTCCGCCCGGGTCCCCTTCCGGGCCCGTCCTCCGGACCCCCTCCACCCACCCTTTTGGTCCTGGTTGTGCGTCCCTCCTCCGGGCCCCCTCCGCCCACCCTTCTAGAGGTTTTGGACTTTTTGGGGTTTTCTTGGGACGTCTGGAATCCGTCCCTTGAGGGGGGGTTCTGTTATGGTTTTGTATTTATGTTTTCATTTTCCACCTTTTGTTTTGAAATGTTTTCCTCCTTGTGTCTTCTCTGTTCCTTCTTCCTGTCGTTAGTTTCCCTGGTGTGTCTGATTGTGTTCACCTGTTGCCCTTGTGTTTCTGCCTCCCTTACCCCAGCTGTGTCTTGTCTTGTGATTACCCCTCTCTGTATTTAGTCTTGTCTTCCCCTGTGTGCCTGGTCGGTTCATTGTTGGTTTTTCCTGTCTCCCTCCATGTTGGTCACGATCGTTTTTGGTATTGTATCTTCCTCGTGTTACCTATGTTTTTTTCATGCCATGTTTTTTTTGTTTATTTTTAAATAAAGCTCGTTTTTGTTTATAGACCTGTTACCTCTTTTGTAGCCTGCAGTTGGGTCCTACCCTTTCCACATTACCTAACAGTTATACTCTGTGTACAATGACAATACAAGGCTTTAACTGAACTTACAAAGAAATTAACAGTCTATAATTTTAATGGTAGGTTTATTTTAACAGTGAGAGTAAGAATATGACAAAGAAAATCCAGAAATTGACATTATATAAAAGATAAACATTGATTTGCATTTAATTGTGTGAAATAAGTATTTGATCCCCTTGCAACCAACAAGGATTCTGGCTCCCACAGACCGGTTACATAAGTCCTGTTCCTTTAACCTTACCTGTATAAAAGACACCGGTCCACAGAATCAACCAATCAGATTCCAACCTCTCCACCATGGGCAAGACTAAAGAGCTGTCTAAGGACCTCAGGGACAAGACTGTCGACCTGCACAAGGCTGGGACTGGCTACAAGACCATCAGAAAGCAGCTTGGTGAGGAGGACACAACTGTTGGTGCCATTATTCAGAAATAGAAGAAAGACTAAATGAGCATCAATCGCCCTCGGTCTGGGGCTCCACACAAGATCTGGCCCCGTGGGGTATTGATGA